AGAAACTAAGCCAGACAAACATGATAAAAATCTGACCCCAAAATAGTGTTATCCTAACCCACCAGGGTATTAAAGGACCAGCTAAAAATCAGTGCAGGACTGTACAGACCTACCCAGTGAACTTCTCCTCACCTTCAGATGTGGAAACATCTCCTGTTCTGCAGGAGAAAGCGTTTATGAGCAGGACAGCTCCTTGGAAACAGAACAGCCACACACACTAAAAGGTGATCCACAGAGAACTACAAGATACTCCTTAAGGGCTGACAGTTGCCAGTGTTTTAACTAAGTGACATCTTACATGTCCATAAGTTCCAGCACACACAAACAGCTCCATGAACTTTGCTTAGGTGATGCCCAGCTCCTCAGGGCTGCAGCACCATCTCCTGAAATGCTCTAAATTGAGACCTTCACAATAATTTGAAGGCACATTAAATTACTACAAATAGAATGATGAAATCTTGATAATTGTGAAGACCACAAGCATCTTACAGCTGAGATGGTTTGCTCTGTGTGGTGGCACACCACAGTGTGACCTTTAATTAATATATTATGGCTTTTTTTTTTATAAATCCCTACCATCAGACACCCTTTCCCACTGATATGGGAAAAGGTAAAATCCTTTTGTCCAGAGACTCAGTGAATTGCAGGGAACACATACAAGTAACTACAAACTGTGAGAATATTTTAGATGATGACAATGCAAAAACCCCAAATACTACAGGACTGACAATACAGGGACTGGTGGAGTAGGGCTCATCAGCACTACAGAGAGGGCAAAACAAGAGCTGAAACTGTACATTGGCTTTCCAGGTAACCTCACCTTTTTTCAAAAAGTAAGCACACCTAAAGAAAGGAAAACAAAAGCTTTGTGAAAGACTTAATGTTACACTTAAATTCTTCAGAAAATGGTGATGACCAAAGAGATTAAAATAAAACTTCTGACTCAACACATCTTAGCACAGATGTTCAGGTATTTCTCATAAATTAGGCTTTCCCCTTCCAAGCAAATTCTACTACAAACACTTGTGATCCTGTGTTTGACTGGAAATTGCATTTGCTCAGGAAATGGAGCAGCCAATACACCACTCCAATGATCTGTTAATTGTGGACAAGTTAATCTGTGGACAAGTCCTATCTATCAAACCTCTAGTGAGAAAACAAGACACAAGTGGAAAATTGATGCTGTTGCCTGCCATTTAAATATAGTTTTTATTTAAAAACTATTAAAATATAGTGTTTATTAAAATACAGCACCTTTCTCATGACACTTCTGCTACTGCTGTAACATCTGCAGCACAGCAGAGATTTTCTTTTCTTTAGATTCACCCAAGCAACACATTCACAACAACTTACAGCCAAATAAAGTTTCTCAGTTAGGACAAAAAACTGCAGAGTAGAAACGTGCAGCATCTCCAAGAAGAAAACTGAAATTCTTTCGTTCTGGCTGGAACAAAGTTAATGGTTAATGAGTAGAGATCCCAGCTCACATGTGGCACAGCAGGCACTCTGGAGCAATCTGCATCTTGTCTGCTGTGCTCTCCTCGCAGGCTGCAGAGCTCAGAGCACATCTCCCTGCTCTGCTTTAGGAGCAGCTGCCACCAAGCAGCACAGACAGGAAGCAAAGCTGCACTCAGTGAGCTGGAGAACAGCATTATAAATAGTATTATAAAGGGGAGGGGGAGCAAAGCAACTTCACCCACTTCATCAGTGACCGGTGTTTAAACGGCGAGACAGAACATCCGAGAACTGATGTTCTTTCAAGTAAGGGAGAGCAGAGCTGTATAAACATCTTGAGCAACAAGTGAGAACCGAGGACATTTATCTTGCTGTGAGAGGGACACGAAATGAATCGTGCAAAGAAAGTTGTTCACATGGCTTTTAATAAAACAAAAGGGCTTTGGATAAAATTAGGGTTTAAGACGTGCTGAAGTCCACACACACACACAGAGCTCAGCCTGAAGTTCATACAGCATCAGTATAAAACTGAAATAAAAATTAAAGAACTTCATTAACCACAGTAAAACCAGCCTAAGTAATTAATGATACCGGAGATCCAAGGTGAAAACACTGCTCTCCATTTAATTGCAGGGTTTCATCATGTAAGATTTCAGGCAATACATTAGACTACTACACTGTCTACCTCTGAATTTCTTAACAACACCTATTCACTTATTCTTTAACCAAAAAAAAAAACCTGGACACTGGCTGACAACACAAAGGATCATGAAGCCTTTCATGGTTCAGTCCTCCAGAAATGGGACATACACTGAGTCTGACACACCCCACACACACCCACAATCACAATGAAATACAATGTTCTATGATTTTTATGATCTAGGGACCTATTCTTAGTGCTGTTTTTTCTTTTGCCATGACAAACCTGAAAAATTGCTCAAATACACAATTAAATTTGCTGCAGGTCAAAGACAGCACAGAATGCTAAAGCTATCTCAAAAAAAATGTTAAACTTGGGGGTTTAAAATGAGTAGAAACATTAAGTGAACACTAAGCTATCCAATTCTTGGATTAATGAAGACAGGGTATCCACCAGAGGCCTACCCACCCCTTGTGAACATCAGATGCATCAAATTAAAAGGCAAATTAAGCATACAAAAAACCCCTTCAGTTAAGAAATACCAGACTGAAAAACCTCAAGCCTATGAAGTATGTATTTTCAGAATCCCAACTTTCACAAGGGTGTTGTTCCTTCCAAAATTCAATCATTTAAGCAGCAATTCTAGCAGATGCTGCATTGGTAGCTTTGTCAATGTGTGTACAAAACTGCTTAGGCACAATAGTGACATATTTTAAATCTGGATAAACTATTTTGGGCCATCATTTGCTTGGCCAAACACTGAAGCAGAATTCCAGAATAAAAATATTCTAGTGTTGGTAAGTTTTATCTACATTCTAGATCTCAAACTAATGCCTAAGATAATAATTAACTGACAGCTCCCCCCATAGCCTTTTTTTATTCATATAATTAAAAACATGCCTTGCTGGCATAAATCCAGTGATGAACAAACACACATTATGCACTGCCTCAAGAATCAAAGCTCATAAAACAATGTTGCACAGAGCTACAAAAAATCACATGGTCTTAAGAGACTGCTCGAGCCTGTGAAAGAAATTCTTAATAAAGCCAAATGACAAAAATCTAGAGAACAAAACCTCAGACAATTCACATGAAACACTGAACTGTTTCCATTGATAACGTCAGAGCCCCTCTCCCATTCTGCCCAGGCCCTGGGAGTGGCTCCCTTTCACAGGAGTTCAGTTCTGTGCAGAGCAAGCCCTGCATTCGTGTGTGATTTACCCAGCAAGGTCTGATTACAACCAGGAATCTGTGATTTGTTCATACCAGACTATAACATTATTCCCACTTATCAGTTTGTCCACCTCCAGCCTCATTCAGATTATTTCTCCTAAACGTTTCAGTGAGGCACTCTAAATTGACTGTAAACACACATAAAAGAGGGAGTGGCATTCACTAATGAGGCTCATGTTCTATTTTAATACACAGCACATCTACCACGCTCTTACATGATTAAGGCAACACAAGAAAATGGATGAAGTAGTTCAGTACTTCAAGGATTCATTCAGAGAAAACAAAGTTAAAAAAATCATAGGAGTAAATAAAATTAGTTTTGAACTGGCAAGAAGAGAGACTTCAGTCTTCTTACACATTACAAGAAAAATTCCTCATTCAATTGTGAGCCAGAATCAATATTTTTCAGTAAGAGCCAGATTCAATTCAGCTTCCTTAGCAAAGCAGCCAGTACCCAGACAGCCAGCTTCACTCCTTCTCCCCCAATTTGTCAAACTTCTGCAAGCCTCACAGGACTAAATGGAAAACAATTTTTTCCAAAAAAACTCATTAACTTGAATTCCAAATACCATAACTGCCCTCAGGAATTTTTTTTTCTTCCAATCAACTTTTCCCACTATAGGAAATATTTATCTTCCACCTAGAAGTATTTAAAAGACCCAATATGCCATTAAACCTGAATAGGCTTCAAGTATTTCCTCCAGCCTGGTAGGTTTGGTAGCATTAGCTGTTTCTTGTTATAAGGGTAAGCAAAAAAATTCAGGCAAATGAAGAATTTTGTAGTCCTTTAAAAGTCTTTAAAATCAAAAAATTATACAGAAATTAGCCTGAAAGAGAAAGGCTGTGAGGGCTTAAGTGCTGGTCCAAACCCACTGAGGTCTGCAGAAAGTCTCCTATCGAATTCAGTGATCTTTGGATTAGTCCCAAAGCACCTACAGTAGCATAGATAAGAGGCAGTGTCTACTTTTCAAAGGTATGTTTTTCCTGTAAAACAAAACCAGCTGTAAGTGATTTCAGTAACTTTAGTCTGATGAGACAAAGCAAGGTTTCTGACTTTAAATCTAATACAGCTTCACAGTAACCATCACTGTCACCAGGGAATTCTAGCTTTCAATATCAGTCTATGGGACAACCACCCCAGAAAAGAGAGATTCAGAAATCAATTCTGAAAGTGATGCTGCTTCTGTGTTAGAGCTCATGGTGAAACTGAGAAAGAGATTCATCCCACTAAGAGCACACTGACTGCTTGCTTTAGCAACAGGCAGCCAAAGACACAATGAAATAACCTGTTGAAAGTGCAAATTTTCATTAGACCACCACCATTCATTGGACAAAGTCTAATTTCTGAACCACCTTAGAAGCAGCTGCACAACACCAAATTTAAATTGTTCCCCAAAATTTTATCCCAGCGCGGCAGCAGAACTAAAGTTCGTCCTTCAAAATAATAAAAAGCCACCAGTACTGGCCACATTTCCCTGCAGAAACATCAAGATGCTTCAAAACAGAGCGACACCAGATTTTATCCTGCCAGCTCCCACTCGCACTCCCGGCACTACCTACCTGTGTGGGGATGGGAAACAGCAGAAATTCTGCACAACACGTGCGGGCCACACTAACAACATCAGCAGCACAGCACACCAATTTCCTTCAGTCACAACAATTTCCCTCTTACCTTGCCTCCTTCTCTTTCAAAGTCGACATACTCCCGGGTCGGTGTCTGCCGCTGCTCCCCCTGCCAGCTGGCCGGAAAAAACTGGAGAGACAGATTGGTTCCTGTGGCCACAAAAGCCTTTTAGAAAAATCAATACAAACAGGATCAGGGAGCAAGACATTACATAAATTATGCAGGCAGTCATTTATTTTTACATCAGTTTATGTCTTAAGCCAGGCAGCATAGAGAATACTTAAAGTCAAAAACATGCACTCATCATTTTTCTTAAGTATTAAGTTACAAACATCTGATTCCATTTTGACAACATTTGCCATTGGCTGCTTCGGATATAAAATACAACATGGAATCAATACTTCTTTCAAATCAGTTTTGCTGACATTAGAATCTGTCCTTTCAGTTCTGTCTGGATACCCTGCACCAACTTAGTACCTGAAACGTTAAAAACTGCCCATGATTTTAGAGAGGTTGCCTATCTCTCAAAGTACTGCTGAGGGAAAATTAACTCCCGAGACCTGAGACTAAGGAACAACTATTTTCAAAAGAAAATGACTTGTCTCCTTTCACAACCTACTTACACCTAGAGAAACACTTCACTGAAATGTAAAAACTCCTATTTGATCATCTCCTGGCACGGCTCAGCCAAACCTCACAGGACCAAGTCCTCGTGCCACACTGAGGCACCCGTGAAATCCAGACCAGCAGATGCTGTCAGGGAGAACAGGCAACTGCAGGAATTCTCAGCTGCAGCCCTTTGTGAAATCACTAAAGGGACTGACTTAATCGTAATAGAAAAAGCACACGTTGCTTTCAAGCAAATAATTTTCTACGATTTCAAATGAAAATAGGCTTCAGTTTTCTTTATAGTTCTCTGTATTTATTTGCATATCTTAACTCCAAGCCATAAAGAGTACATCAATTTACAGACATGATATGAAAAATTATTTTTGCAAGCAGAAGTTGGATTTGCAGTATTTATACTCTTCTCTGGTACAGGTGAGCACATCGTCCCCTAAGAACCAGAATACTCACACATGCTCCCAGAATATCACTCTACTCAAAATCCCAGGGTTAACTGTAATTTGTTGCAATCAAACAACTGTATTGATTACCATGATCACTTAGATTTAAATGGTCATTAATCTAGAACACAGTTCTTCTTAAAAGCTATACAACTACTACCCTAATAGCTGGAATTTCCTGAGAAGCAGATTTCTTTCAAGCAACCCAGAATTCAGGAACTTTATGGCATAACTGTACTGCTACCTACGACACAATAGCTCTACATGTTATTTAAGATAGTTCCAGTCATGGGCTGCAATGCTGTCTGCCACAGGATTAATACCTCCCACTTTGAAAGTAGCAGTGCTTTGTCTTGACACCTTCCCCTCTGCCAAGGGAGGCTCATGCTCTGCAAGCAGGTTCCATTCCGTGCTATCCTCAATAACAGATTTTGTAAGTTTTCTTTGCCTGTTTGTTTTTTGTTTCAAACCTCCTGTAAGCATTTTCTCAATGTTATTGAAATTAACAACTGGGTCCTGGTAATAGCAGGGGAATATTGCATTGGTACATTAATATTTGTTTGCCCTACTCAAAGACAAGCATTTCAATCAATGAAATAGAAGCTTTATCAAGGATACACTTGCATAAACAGGAGGCATCCAAACTGCCAGGGCTGCAGACCATCACTATCAGCCTGACTACCTTGTGCTGTCCCTTGGCCCCTCTGAGGGATTCTGTTTACCTACCAACAAAATATTATCTCCAAATACTTGTGACTGTAAGTCTTCACCACTTAGTCTGTTCAAGAACTACCTTCCTACCTCCGAGCATCTTTAGCAAATATGTGTTTTATATTCCTCAATTTATGCACTTAAAATGCCAAAGAGTGAGATCTTTTGAGTGTAAACCAGCTGAGCACTGCAGCCCTACAGAGCACCCCAGTCCTGGTGCTGGCTCAGGACTATCCTTGCCTTCTGGGAAAGCCAGCCAAGTGCCCCTGCCTCCCTGCTCCCACCCCTGTGTGTGCTAGAGGGCCAGGAAAAACCATTGAAAAAGAAGAGGAAAAAAAAGAAAACAAAAGTACACAAATTCCACCTCCTCGTGGAGTCATGCAGGCAACATTTAAACCATAGGGTATTTAAAAAGCTACGTAGATATTTTTTCTCTGGATTTTTGAAGCCTGTTCCCTCCCTTGGAACAGATAAAACCATCCAGTTAAAATACTCATGGGCTTCTCAAATCAAATCATAGGCCAATACTGAAAACCTTGAGAACAGAATTGCTTCTAACCACACGGGACGACGTGGAACCCAACATTTTTCAAGTAACAAGCAAATTAAACTAAAAAAAAAAAAAGTCACACCACTAGTTTAGTTTTAAACTTGAAAGTAGGAAAATTATAATTTTCTATGCAGAGCCTTTTAAAGCCCAGTTTGAAAAGCTATCAGACATTTAAGCCCCAAATTTTGCAAAAAGCTTATCAGGTACTACAAGGGCGACCTGACCCACACGTAGACAACGTAAATACAAGCCCCTTCCAAGACAAACCAAACATGTGAAGGTATTTTCTAGTTATCAAAGCATTACCAGCAAACATGAAATCTTATTTAATATATTTCACAGTTACTTCTCATAACACTGGTAATTACTTTTTTTATTCAATCAAGAGCTATTTGACAGACACAGCCAACACCACACTGCCAGTTCTACATTAAATCCCTAAGCTGTTCTCTCTGCTTTTTTGTCTGCTTAAAAATATGTAAGGTCATTTGCAAAGGCTCCCTTTGGAGATAAAAGAATAAATCCTTGATGTCTGGAAAAACATTCAAGACTAAAAAAAAAAAAAAAAGTAAAATTACTAGCTCTTTTTAACATCAGTCATTACACACATTACATTTCTAAATAAACCTGACTACTCGCGCCCTGTTCACAAAACAAAACCAGATGTTTCAGATCAAGAAATATAGAGCCTGTTTTATAATTAAGTAGAAGTGAAAATATGTAGAACAGGCATCACTGGTTGCTTCCAAGGGCTGAAGCTGTGGTAGAAAAAGACAGCAGCAGGCTTAGAAGCACAAAGGTGAAACTACAGTGATTTCCTACTAATACAAATAGCTGCATAGGCTGCATTAGCAAGCTGATTTATAAGCTACATGGGGTTTTTTTGGTGTGGGTTTTCTTTTTTTTAGGGAGGGATTCGAGTATATTATGCACTTTCACCTGTGCAGGAATTTCCAGTGCTAGCCAACTATGTCTTCCTCACCTACCTATTGTTTCCCTGGTGACTTCTTAAAGGAAGCAAACATGCACTACGAAAATTGAACGTAAAACAAACAGTAAAATTAAGAACCTGTCTACAGAGGGCCTCTCACAAGATAATATTACAGGTTCTAAGACCAGTGGTAACAAGCAGGGTTAAGATTCAGCTAAAATAAAGTTACTCAGTAAAAGGTAATCATGTTCTTGAGTGTGTATCCTTTTACTGACAAATGCAAATGATGAGATCAGCTAAAGTAATGGGTATTTAACTATTTTTGTTTGGAGTACAAGAGTAATTTCATTGTGTGTAAAAATAATTTCATTGTGAATTGACTAGCAATACACATACCATGTGAAATTAAAGAATGCTCATAAACCAAACTTGGTGAAAGTGGGGTTTATTTTCTATTTTACCTCGTCTTTCACTATATACTGTAAATGAAAAAGAGGTTACTTCTGCATTTTAATAGACAAGAGTTACAAACTTGACAATGCTATGAGCTACTGATCCTATAGAAGCAACCTACAGCAGATCAAATCAGGAAATACCGAGGCAGTTCTTGACTACTCCGAGCCATACTTCATCTCACTTCTTAATTCAGAAGAGAGCAGTCTGTAACTAACCTTAATGAATGAGAGAAACGGGGCTGAAGTTGCAAGTTTCAAAGCCTAATTCTAAAAGCATTTGATTTAGCTCACGAATACATCTAACAGCTCACCCAAGGCTTTTAGATAGCGCCTTCTGAACAATGTTACTCATTTCTGAAGGCTACTGTTTCCGGAGAGGGAAAAAAAAAAAAAA